CACACCCTGCCCCAAATGGGAAATCGAAGACATACTCCGCAGTCTTGATGACAATTTGCTGGATGTGCCTCCAGCTGGATATTTGGAATTTGACCATAAGACATTGAAGTGGAAGCAGGCCATTCAGTCCATCACATCTGCTCCACCTTTCACCACTCCAGCCTGAAAATGCTCCCCTTATCCCAACTCTCTGCCTTCTATTAGTTACCCAATCCCTATCCATGCTAATATAGTATCTGCAACACCATGGGTCTTGTCAAACATGTGGTGCCTTAGAATTATGGAGTCATACAGCATGGGAACAGATCCTTTGGTCCAATTGTCCTTGCCGACCAGATATCCCAATCTGACCTAGTCCATTTGCCAGCATTTGGCCCATATCCCTCTAAAACCTTTCTATTCATATGTATCCAGATGCCTTTCATATGTTGTAATTGTACCAGCCTCCACCAATTGCTCTGGCAGCTCATTTCATACACGCACCACCCTCTGCATGAAAACGCTACCGCTTAAGTCCTTTTAAATCTTTCTCCTCTCATCTTAAATTTATGCACCCTAGTTTTGGACTCCCTCACACCAGGGAAAAGGCCTTGGGTATTCTCCCTATCCATGCCCCTCATGGTTTTATAAACCTCTGTAAGGTCACCCCTCAGTCTCCAGCAAATCAAATGGCATATAATATCCATTGCTTTTCCTTTATCTATCCTGTTTATTAAGTCCTCAAAGATTTCTAGCAAATTTCTCAGGCATGATTTTCCCTTCATGAAACAATGCTGACTCTGCTTAATTATGTTGTGTATTTCTAAGTTCGCTGATGTTACATCCACTATAGTAGACTCGAACATTTTCCCAACAATAATCGCTGAACTAACTGGCCGAAATAACCTGTTTTTTTTGTCTCCTTCCCTTGAAATTGAAGTGTTACATTGGCTGCTTTCCACTCCTCTGGACTTTTCCAGAACTTAATGATTCCTGGAAGATTACAGCCAGTGTATACACTGTCTCTATAGCTACTTCCTTTAAAATCCGAGGATGTATCCCATCCGGTCCAGGGGACTTACCAGTCTATAGCCCCATTAGCTACCTTACCATTTTTTGCTCTAGTGATTGCTATTGTATTTATTTCTTGTCCTTTTGCATCTTGAATACTTAGTAATTTTGGGATGCTATTAGTATCTTTGATTGTGAAGACTAAGTAGGGAACCATAGTACGTTCATGAGACTTAGAGATTGGTAGAGAGCATGATGCAGGACCGAGTCACCACACTTTGGGGAGGCGATGGCCCAGTGGCACTATTGCTGGACTGTTAATCCAGAGACCCAGATAGTGTTCTGAGGACCTGGGTTTCGAATCCCTATGGATTGTATGGATTACCTCTGCATGGACTATAAAAGCAAGGATGTTATATCATAGCTTTATAAATCACGTGGTTAGACTCCAGTCAGAAACCAATGTTCACTTTTGGGTCCCACACTTTAAAAATGATGCCGTGCACAGGGTGAAGGAGAGATTTACGTAGTGTAGGGACTTCAATTTTTTTGATAGACCAGTGAAGCTGGAGCTCTTCTTGCGAGAACAGGGAAGGTTAAAAGAGGTATTCAAAATTTTGACGGATTATGGTAAGTACAGCTTTAGATCCAACAGAACCAGATACAAGGAAACAATGTAGTAGGCAATGAGGAAACAAGCAAGCAATTGGCTTTAAAAGGACAGCCTCTCAAAGAGCTAGCACATTCATGATATGCCCTCTCAGTGTGCCGTACGATCTTCGCACAGATGCCAACAGACACATTGTCCTGTCTTCATTGCTTTCTGTTTGGGGTTCAGACTTCAAGCATTTACAGTTGTTGGTTTTTTAAACAATTGTTGGTGGGTTAACTGAAACTTCACAATGTTAAATAGATATCAGGTGACTTCAAATGCACAGATGAAAGGGTTACTCCTTGCAAAAGGGGATGTGTGACAGAAATTGCAGAAAGAATTTTTTCCTTTATTCATTAATAGGATGAAGGCATTACTGGCTAGGTAGCATTTATTGTCTATCAGGCAGTTGAGAATCAACCACATTTCTGTGTCTAGAGTCACATGTAGGCCAGACCAGGTAAGGATGGCAGTTTCCTCCCCGAAAGGGCATTAGCAAACCAGATGGGTTTTCCTGTTAATTGACAATGGATTCATAGTCATCATTAGATCTTTAATGCCAGATATTTCATTGAATCCAAATTTCACCATCTGCTGGGGCAGGATTTGAACCCAGGTTCAGAATGCTATCCAGGTCTCTGGATTAACAATCTAGTGACAATACCACTAGGCTATCATCTCCCCAACAATGAAGCAGACATAATAGAAGAGGAAGAAAAACGGATTAAGAGCAAGAAGATACAGATGGTAAAACAGAACCAGAAACAGGGAGGATCATGTGAGGGTGAAGTGTAAGTTACTGACCTCCTACAATCCCAAAGAACAATTACAGCCTGGTTCGAAAAGAAAAGGATGGATTTGCATTCAGGTAGGGTCTTGAAATGTCTTTTAGAAAGACCCCAAAGTATTTTAAATAGGTTTTATGATTAGAATGTGGTGGAAGACAGCACTTGGGATACACCAGTTTCTGATATTTCTTTGGAGTTTTGCAATGGCCTTTGCTTGGTGTGGACCATGCACGAATGAAGGGATATGACAGACATGAGGTGTCTAGTACAACATGTGACACAGATAATCCCTCCGTATAAGCATCATTGGTCTTTGTGGTGCAGTGGAAGTGTATCTACCTCTGAGCTAGGAGACTTGGGTTCAAGTCCCACCTGTTTCAGAGATTGTTGTAACATCCGTGCATAAGTTGACTGAGGGAATGTGAAAATATCGAAGGTACTTGACTACATGAATGTTTTTGACCTGACATTAGGTGCTATCACAAAAGAGGCACATTGCAGCTGTTACACTCCAAGATTTCTCCAATATTGCTTTCTATAGACTTGATAGAATAGTCTCAAGAGTCTTGCAATAGGATAAGCCTTTATTACCAAGCAATTTAAGTTGCTATTCAGAAATAACACCTGGGAACTTACCGGTAAACAAAATTAGCATCTTGAATAAAATGTTCTACTGTTTGCAATGCTGCAGTTTTTTCTAAATAAGAAAAGAATGCAATTTATTCTGACACAGAGTTAACTGACAAGATACTTCAGCTGAAGAATACTTTCGTAAAAATAAAGTTGATGGTTATTTGTCAGACCACATTAATAGATTCAGATACTTAAATCAATAGCGGCACAGCGCCTCACAGCACCAGGGACCCGGGTTCGATTCCACCGTCAGGCGACTGTGTGGAGTTTGCACATTCTCCCCGTATCTGCATGGCTTTCCTCTGGGTGCTCCGATTTCCTCCCACACTCCAAAAGATGTGCAGGGTAGGTGGATTGGTCATGGGAAATGCAGGGTTACAGGAATTGGGTGGGTTGCTCCTCAGAAGGTCGGTGTGGATTTGATGGGCCGAACAGTCTGCTTTCTCATTGTAAAGATTCTGTGAGCCTTACGCATAGGAAGTGGATAATTTTTATAAAATGAGATACTTATATCAATTACATTTGAGTTTATTTCAGTTGGAAGCAAGATTGATGTTGTCTTGCAGGTTGTGTTAAACTCCACGTACAGTTTTTTACTTAAATACACAATACAGTTTTGACATTATGCTCTATCTGAAGGATTTCAGTTTGCATAATCGCAGGTCAACAATTTAATGCAATGGCTACCATCCCTGGTTAATTTTGACTGTCAGAATGGCGCAGCTGGAATTACAAGATTCTTCTGCCTCATTGCTATGGCCTACATAACCAGCACTGCATGCCATATTGCTGCCTGTTTAAAATGACAAATATGTGATGACATCATTCCCCTTCATTTTATGGTATTAAACAATGGCAAATGCAGCCTGAAAAAAAGAAACGCTGCAACAAAAGGTATGAGCTTCAGAGGAATCACAGCACTTTTATCTGGACAAAGGATGTTTCTTGACCTGGTGGTAATTTTTTTTTAAGGGATATTGACGAGGTACAACTCCCTGGTGTGACCTTTTACATCCATTTGAGAAAGCTGTTAAAGTCACAGTTTAAAACTTCATTCAAGATTTAATTCCTCCAACAGTGTAGCACTCCCAAACACTATACTGAAGTAGAAACTGAGAATATGTGCTGTAACCTCTGAAGTGGGACTTGAAACCACAACTTTCTGATTCAGATACAGAAGTGCTGAGCCATGGCTGACAGTAAATATAGAAATTAGGAGTAGGCCCTTTGGCCCTTCAAGGTTGTTCTGTCATACAACATGACCATGACTGATCCTTTATGTCAATACCATTAAACAAGGTAGGAGCAAATTACTGCAGATGCTGGAATCTGTACTGAAAACAAAACTTGCTGGAAATTACATGGATCAGGCAGCATCCATAGAAAGAGAGCAACCTAACATTTCAAGTCTAGATGACTCTTTATCTAGACTCTAAACATTAGCTCGTTCTCTCTCCATGGATGCTCCCTGATCCGCTGTAACTTCCAGCAATTTTTGTTTCCATTAAACAAGAAGCTGACCAAGATGTGCCTTTTTGAGTGAACTTGATTTGTTGGAGGTGGGTGCTATTAATTACAAAGACCAATCTCTTTACAAATGGACAATAAAATCCACATCTGAAAGTATCCCGTCTATTGCTTCAGAGAGTGAGGGAATGGCTAAGGCAAGATATAACTAACAGATCAACGAAGGCTGGCCACTTACATTAAATATAATGTCCTCAGACTTTTGCTTGAATGCTCAAAAACAGAAGCACAAGATCTCAGCCTTTTGGTTTGATTGGAAATGTTGCAATGCATATTATCAGAGTTCAGTGACTCCCAACACAAATATTGCACCCAGTCAATTCTTCAGGAACTTCTAACTTATTGGTAACACAGTTGGAACAGCAACAGTAAGATATTCACAGAGCATGAAACAATCTCATGGACCTTACCTTCATATAGCCAGTCGCTCAGGCCATTGAAAATGACCCCCTCCTTCCCAGTCGCTACCAGACGTATAGCGCGGCTATTAACATTCAGTTGGTAGAAGATGTTGTTCTCAAAAATGAAAATCTGGACAACAAGGAGCAAAAAAAAACGGTGCATTACAGACCATTGTATTAAAATGAGGGTCAGCAACTGGATACAAGAACAAACAAATATCTCAGACTTTGTACTTGCCAAACATGAAGAGTAGGGATTGCATAGAACTGAAATGGATTGTTAATGTGGGAAAGTTTTGGCTGTGAGAGGCTTAACATGCCAAACCATTAACACCACTATCAGGAGCTCACACAAGAATGCATTCTCTAGGCTCTAAGTCAGTGGGACAGTATCCCATTTGCCTTGTCCTTGGTTACTATTTTGCTTGGGAACATCTTGAATGATTGTAATACTCTCCAGTCCAGTCTCGCATCTTTCACCTGACATAAACATGAACTCATCCAAAATCCCAGTGCCCAGATTCAGACCAATTTTCATTGACCCCTATGCTTACTGACCTGCATTGGCTCACAGCCCAACAATGCCTTGACTTAAAAACAATGTCATTCTTGTTTTCAAAGTCCTATCCTCATCTCTCCCGTCTCTGTCACCTCTTCCAGCCCTGGAACTTTTCAAGAACTCTGCACTCCTCCAATTCTAATCTCTTGTGCATCCCTGAATGTCATTGTTGGCAGCCATTTTGTCAACTGTGTGGGTTTTAAGTTCCATAATTGCTTCCCTAAACCTCTGTCTCCACCTCTAAGTTGTTCATTAAAAACTGGTTCATCAAGCAAGCTTTTGGTTAGCTGTCCTCGTATGACTTGGTGTCAAATTTTGTTCAATTTCACACCTGGGATGCATCATAGGATGTTTTACTATGTTAAAGATGCTGTACAATGCACACCGTTGCCCTTATTGCATAATGCTTGGTAATTGAGGCTTGAACACTTAATTTCCGAGAGTAGAGGTGTTTCAGTGTAGAGACTACACCTGTTTTGACATCTGATCAAATACAACTCTAGGGGTAAGGTGGTGGGCGGTCGTAGATGGAGCAGACATTCAGAATGTAATTGTCACGCTGCTGAGAACTGGACTCAATTCGCCTCGTAGTGTGGACAATGGATCTGAGCCAGTTTGAAGAGTAATCCCCAACATCATGGGAGGTGCACTGGTGGAATACATTTTTTTATTCATTCATGGGATGAGGGACAATGTTTGCACACAGACGGTGGTTCGTATGTAGAACGAACTGCCAGAGGAAGTGGTGGAAGCAGATACAGTTACAACAAGTAAAAGACATTTAGATAGGTACATGAACAGGGAAGGTCAAAGGAATATGGGCTAAATGCAGGCAAGTGGGACTAGTTTAGTTTAAGAAACTTGGTCAGCATGATCAATTTGGGCCAAAGGGTTTGTTTCCATGCTATATGACACAGATTGCGTTCTGAATATTAAGAGGTATATAGAGTCATAGAGTTGTACAGCATGGAAACAGACCCTTTGGTCCAACTCATCCATGCTGACCAGCTATCCTAATTAAATCTAGTCCCATTTGCCAGCATTTGGCCTATATCCCTCTAAATCCTTCATACTCATATACCCATCTAGATGCCTTTTAAATATTGTAAGTGTACCAGACTCCACCACTTCCTCTGGTAGCTCATTCCACACACGCACTACCCTTTACGTGAAAAAGTTGCCCCTTAGCTCCCTTTTAAATCTTTCCCCTCTCACCGTAAACCTGTGCCCTTTAGTTTTGGACACCCCTCACCCCGGGGAAAAGACTTTGTCTATTCAGTCTATCCATGCCCCTCATGATTTTATAAACTTTTATATGGTCACCCCTCGGCCTCTGCCGCTCCAGGGAAAATAGGCCCAGGCTCTTCAGTCTATCCCTATAGCTCAAACCCTCCAAACCTGGCAACATCCTTGTAAATCTTTTCTGAACCCTTTCAAGTTTCACAACATCCTTCCTACATCAAAAAGACCAAAATTGCATGCAGTATTCCAAAAGTGGCCGAACCAACGTCTTGTACAACCATAACATGACCTCCTAACTTCTATACATAATGCAGTGATCAATAAAGGCAAGCATACCAAACACCTTCTTCACTATCTTGTCTACCTGGGACTCTACTTTCAAGGAATTATGAAGCTGCACTCCAAGATCTCTTTGTTCAGCAACACTCCCCAGGACCTTACATTATAAGTCCTCCCTGATTTGCCTTTCCAAAATGCAGCACCTCACATTTATCTAAATTAAACTCCATCTGCCTCTCCTTGGCCCATTGGCCCATCTGATCAAGGTTCCATTGAATTTTGAGGTAACCTCCTTCGCTGTCCACTACACTGTCAATTTTAGTGCCATCTGCAAACTTACTAACCATACCTTCCATATTCACATCCAAATAATTTATATAAATAACAAAAAGCAATGGATCCAGCACTGATCCTTGTGGCACACTGCTTTTTTTAAAATTCATTTTTGTGGGATGTGGGCATCGCTGGCTGGCCAGCATTTCTTGCCCATCCCTAGTTGCCCTTGAGAAGGTGGTGGTGAGCTGCCTTCTTGAACCACTGCATTCCTCCTCATTCCTGGTCACAGGCTTCTAGTCTGAAAAAAAACCCTCCCGCACCACCCTCTGTCGTCGACCTTGAAGCCAGTTCTGTATCCAAATAGTTAGTTTTCTCTGTATTCTGCGTGATCTAACCTTGCTAACCAGTCTACCATGAGGAACCTTGTCGAACGCCTTACTAAAGTCTATATAGATCACATCTGCCACTTTGCCCTCATCAATCCTCTTTGTTACTTCTTCAAAAACTCAATCTAGTGAGACAATTTTCCACGCACAAAGCCATGTTGACTATCTTTAATCAGTCCTTGCCTTTCCAAATACATGTGCATCTATCCCTCAGGATTCCCTTCAACAACTTGCCCACTTCCATTGTCAGGCTCACTGGTCTATAGTTCCCTGGCTTTTCCTTACCACCTTTCTGAAATAGTGACACCACATTAACCAACCTCCAGGCATCTGGCACCTCACCTATAGTTATTGATGATACAAATATCTCAGCAAGGGGCCCAGCAATCACTTCCCTAGCTTCCCACAGAGTTCTAGAATACACCTGATCAGGTGCCGTGGATTTATCCACGTTTATGTATTTTGAGACATCCAGCATCACCTCCTCTGTAATGTGGACATTTTTCAAGATTTCGCTATTTTTTTTCCCGACGTTCTCTACCTTCCATGTCCTTCTCCACAGTGCATACTGATGCAAAATACTGATTTAGTATCTCCCCCATCTCCTGCGGTTTGACATGTAGGCACCCTCCTTAGTTATCCTTTTAGTCTTTAACGTTTTTTATAAAATGCCTTTGGATTCTCCTTAACCCTACTTGCCAAAGCTATCTCCTGATTTCCCTCTTAAGTATGCTCCCACTGCTTTTATACTCTTCTCTGCTGTCCATACCTGACATAGAATCCCTACAGTGTGGAAACTGGCCCTTCAGCTCAACAAATCCACACTGACCCTCAGAGCATCCTACCCAGACCCATCCCCCTATAACCCACCTAATCTACACATCCCTGGACACAATGGGCAATTTAGCACAGCCAATCCACCTAACTTGCACATCTTTAGACTGTGGGAGGGAACCCACACAGCCACGGGGAGGATGTGCAAACTCCACACATACAGTCACCCAAGGGAGGAATTGAACCTGGGTTCCTGACACTTTGAGGCAGCAGTGCTAACCACTGAGCCACCATGCCGCCCAGAAAATGAGTAGACTCCACACAGCTAAATTACCCAAGGCGAGGATCAAACCCAGGTCCCTGATACTGTAAGGCAGTCGTGCTAACCACTAGGCCACCATCATCTGCAGCATATGCTTCCTTCTTATTCTTGACCAAAACCTCAATCTCTCCAGTCACTCAACATTCCCCACACATACCAGCCTTGCCCTTCACCCTAACAGGAACAAACTGTCTCTGGACTCCCATTATCTCATTTTTGAAGGCTTTCCATTTTCCAGCCATCTCTTTACCTGCGAACATTTGCCCCCCAATCAACTTTTGAAAGTTTTCGCCTAATACCGTCAAAATTGGCTTTCCTCCAATTTAGAAATTTAACTTTTAGATCTGATCTATCCTTTTCCATCACAGTATGATATTCAAGAAAAATGGGGAGCTACATAAAGGTGGAGGGGTAGTGCTGGATGGCAGTTGTACAATATTTAGAGGTGAACTTGGTTCAGGTGATAAGGATGTGGAATTGGTTTGGATGGAAATGAGGAACACTAAGGGAAAGTGGGAGTAGTCTACCAGCCCCCTAACAGCAACCACAATGTCAGACAATTTATACAATAAGAAATAATGAGTGCAATTGTTTTACAGTTTGATTCTGATAACGGGATAAAGTAATAAGTATGGGTGAATTTAATCTATGTGTAAACTGGAAAAATCAGATTGGTAGCAATTGGCTGAATATGAAATTTCCAGAATGGTTTTTATTAATTAATTTGTGAGATGTGGGTGTTATTGGCCAGGCCAGCATTTATTGTCCATCCCTAATTGCCCAGTAAACAGTTAAGAGTTTCCACAGGTACTTAAAAAGGAAAAGAGTACATAAAATGAATGTTGGTCCCCTGAAAAGCGAGAATGGGGAATTAATAGTCAATAATAAGCAAACAGCAGATGAAATGAACAAATACAGCTTGTCTCTCTAAGGAAAAAAGAACTGCAAATGCTAGAAATCTGAAACAAGAACAGAAATTGCTGGAGAGCAGGCCTGGCAGTATCTTTGGAGAGAAAGCAGAGTTAATGCTTTCGAGTCCGGTGACTCTGAGTTCTGAAGATGTGCTGAGTTTCTCGAACAATTTTGACTTTTGTAAATCACGAGGTGGATGGGAGAGAGGGGACCTTCGCAGAATTTCAATAGCAGGAGATGACCATTCAACCCCTGAATTCTGCCCTGCCATTCAGTGAGATCGTAGCTGATTTTTTGGTGTTACAAATTCCATCTCCCCATCGAAGTAAAGCTTGCAATTATATAGCACCTTTAACACAAAGACACATTGTTGAGAACAT